CTTCCGCTGCCGGCTGCTCGGCGACGGCCTCTCGGCGGCCCGCGTCTGAAGCCCGAGGCGGAGCCGGAGGGCGCCCGGCGCCGTCGCGTCGGGCAATTGCGACTGGTCAAAGGCCCCTTTTCTCGGGCGCTCGTCTCCATCGGGGTCACGGCGCGTCGCTCAACGGCGGACCGGTGGCCGGTCACCGTCAGGGCTCAGGGAGACAAACGAGCGACCGGTCACGAGTTCACGCCGAGGTGCGCGTCACGAGCGGGACTTTTGCAAAAAGGCCGCACGAGAAAGCAGGCCAAACCAACGCGCTCACCTCAACTTGCTTCGCGAAAAGCAGATTGCCTTGATTTGCTTGGACTTTGTCCACGCGTGGTGATAATAAAAGCGCACCTTTCAAAATAAAAGCCTTTCCTTTGACTCGACGGCGACTGTTGGGGCCGGTCAGGGACAAGAAAAAGGGAAAGGGGGTCGGGGGTCGGCGCGGCGAGGCGAGGCGCGCGACTCCTTCTCGGCCGCCGGGGGGCGCACCCTCACTCTCCCGTTCCGGGTGGTCTGCGGCGCGCAGGCGGGCAGGACCCTCCGGACGGGGGGAGACGAGGGAGACGCGGAGGAAGGCTCGGGATGGCGGCGGAGGGAGCGGGGGACTTTTTCGGCGCTCGCTGCCCGGACGAGTCGTCGGACAGCGAACCGGAGCAGGAGCCGGGCACCCCGCAAAAACTCATCCGGAAAGTGTCCACTTCCGGTCAGATCCGCAGCAAGGTGAGCGCCGCTCGAGACCAACGGAAAGCCCAAACGTCAACATCTGCGACCACGTCACCGAGCGTTTGCGACGACGACGACGGCGGCAACAACAACAACGCGTCCAACTGTGCGCGAGCGCGCGTCGCCCGTCGACTTGACGTCGTCCTCGCCAACCGCCACACTTCCCTTCCGCTTCCCTCGCCTCGCCGTCACGTAGCACTTGTTGCAAAAACAATTCGAGCGGTCTTTGAATCGATCCCGCTCGCGCGAATGGGCAAGCGTTGCTTTTGTGGGACCCGAACGCATTTCCACTTCTTCGTTTGGGTTCCGACGCGTGCGCGCAAACTCGAGCCGAGCGAGCCCATATTTCATCGAGCGCCTCGATTGGCGGCCCCCCCCCTCGAGCTCTCGCGGCCGCGACGTCGTCCGCGCGACGCAAACGCGACGCCAAAGCCGCCGAAAGGCGTCGGGGCGGCCGAGTTTGCCGGCCGGAGGCCCGAAGCGCGGCCTCGCCCTTTCCTGCTCCGCTCGGCCGGCGTTCGAAGGCGCCCGCCCGGGGGGGAGCGCCTCGCGGCCGGCCCCTTGAGCCGTCCTCGCGCTTCGGCGCCCGCTCGGAGGAAAGAAAGCAAGCAAGCAAGTCAACCGAAGCGACCGCGACCGTTTCAAGTGTGCGAGTTCCGAAGCGGCGTCGGCGTCGTCTTGACTATTTACCGCAGCAGACGCGAAATATCCGCTTCGGAAGTGGGGGGGGGGCGTCCATTCTCCAACTCCAAAACGGGACAAAATGTCCCCGTCGACAACGCCGAGGAGAAGCACCCAAGTGCACCGAAGACGCCACGCCGTGGAAACGACGTCCAACTCGATGGACCGCGAGTCCGCTCGTGCTTCGGCACCTGCCGATCGATTGCCCCTCCCCGGCATATACGCACAGATGGATGGATAGATTCGCTCTTTTGGGGAGGGGGGCGTTTTGGGTGGCAAACATTTATTGGTGCTCCTGAGATTTTTGGGGTGTTTCTTTTTCTTTTTTTTGTCGTCTCCAATAGTTTTCCACAGATTGTCGCTCTTCGCTGTCTGTAGCTGCCCCGTCAAGGATGACGACGCCTCGTACTGACGTCCAAAAACGTTTCATCGTGGAACGCCGTGAAAACGAAACCACATTTCAAACAGCAATCAACATTCCAATATCTTTGACAAGACATGAAATACATAAGCACAAAATGACCTACCGTGTGCACTTTGGGAAACCCAAAGTCGAGCCAATGAAATAACGTTGAGCACACGCCATCGTTTCTCTCTCTCTCAAGTTGTCTTCTCGGTCTTTGGAATTCCGCCCCGGAAGTGATTCTGAACAAACATCCCAAATAACATCTGAAGAGGGTTTCAAGAAAAAACAAATCTGAAAGTTCACATCGAAATAGAAAGCACTTTTACAAAACAAGCCTCAATAATTGCGATTGTTGTTGTCATGGCAACCAATTCACTCAATACCGGCGCCAGCTCCCCATCTCCGCGAATAGCGTCGCATTTCTGTCACCATTCACTGCTGCCAAGATGAAACGTTAGCGCCCGATTGAGCACACGTACAGAACGCGCATGCGCACACGCTCGGCCCTTCAGGCGGGCCCGTCTGATGAATCGGCCGCTGATTAAAAGGACCACGTCAAGCGCTGCCAAGATGAGATGTTAGCGCCCTGATTGAGCACACGTACAGAACGCGCATGCGCACACGCTCGGCCCTTCAGGCGGGCCCGTCTGATGAATCGGCCGCTGATTAAAAGGACCACGTCAAGCCCCTCTTAAGTCCCAACAAAGATGAGTTGCAGGCGGACCAAGGATGTCGACCTCGCTGCCAGGTTTTCCGCGTGCGCGCACGCTCGGCCCTTCAGGCGGGCCCGTCTGATGAATCGGCCGCTGATTAAAAGGACCACGTCAAGCCCCTCTTAAGTCCCAACAAAGATGAGCTGCAGGCGGAACATTTTCCAACAACGTGTCCTTCTGGATGACTTGAACCGAACAACCGAGAGGAATTTTCATGTCGCAAAAACCTTCTGGTGGCGGCGCATTGAAGAGCGCGCGGAATGTCCGCTTGTCCATTTCCGCCAGTTGCGGACAGAGAAGCAAAAGACCTTTTTTTGGTTGAGTTTTGTCGTCAAAGCACTCCCAGCGCTCCCCGATACCGAGTCGCCGTCCCACGAGTCGCACCGATGCATCGAATTGCAACAAAGACGATGACGGGTCATCGTGAACAAAGACCTTTCTTTGCGACGCAGCCGATGATTTGCGCGTTCGTCGTGCCAAGTGCGACCAAGGATGTCGACCTCGCTGCCAGGTTTTCCGCAGGTTTGTTGGTTTTGCCCGGCCGAGACCCGCTTCGTCGAAGGAAAGCGAAACGCCGCCGCGGCGCGAACAAACCCGACCGCTGTTGTCGGCAACACGCCAACTGCAGTGACGTCTCGGGAGAGACCGCGGTGGGCAAATGGCATCAGGTCGCGCAATTCCGCATTGGGGGAAAACTCGGTCCCATGGGCACTATTTTGCAAAGGGCGAGCGCGGGCCGGCTGAGGAAGCGTTCGCGGAGCGCGGCCTTCGTTTGAAAGTCGGCGCGGCTGACGGCGGGGCCGCGACCCGACCCCCGTCTCGGGAGAGACCGCGGTGGGCAAATGGCATCAGGTCGCGCAATTCCGCATTGGGGGAAAACTCGGTCCCATGGGCACTATTTTGCAAAGGGCGAGCGCGGGCCGGCTGAGGAAGCGTTCGCGGAGCGCGGCCTTCGTTTGAAAGTCGGCGCGGCTGACGGCGGGGCCGCGACTCGACCC